GGGAAGAGAACTGGGGAAGTGCAGGATACAGGGAGAGGCAAAAACAATCAGCTCTTTCTTCAGCCACAAAGATTAGTTGAGATTTTGCTTTTTCTTATCTGTTTCCTTGATTGACCGATCAGAATGATTTTTTTGATGCAAGGGCAAATGGTGGGAAAGCGGTTGTTTTTGAGCAGTCAGAACTGGGGAGGATTTGCATGTTTGGGGAGCAAGGCCAGGTGTGTTTGGAGTTGGTGATCCTGATCCTGACAGGTGCTGAGCATCCTTGGGTACCCATTGTGTGGATTCAGTAGCTCCAAGGATCAGGGAAGCCCTTTGTCACTCCATGCAGCAGGTCTGCCCGTGGCTGGTGCCATGCTGGGAGCAGACAGCTCTCCCTAGCCTGGTGTGGCAAGGTTCGGGCACTGCCAGATCTGCTTGCTTCCTTGCTCCTTCATCTGCATTTCCAGAGCTTCAGGTGGTGCAAAGGAAAGCCCAGGGAACCATGCAGAATGACGCTGTCACCTCCGGAGGCTCCGGTCCCTTCATCTTCCTCAGGAGATGGCTCTCCCTGATTGGGGATTGCAGCCAACAAGGGGCTGTGGGGCTCTGCCTGGTTTTCCTCTAGGCTGCTGATGTCCATATACCTAAAGGAGGGATGGGGCTGAGGGAGAAAGGAGGCAGGTGGTGTTCCCTGGTTGTCTGAATGTGGCACCTTGTTACTCCAGGGGAAGAAACTGTAGTGCCTTCATAGAAAACTGCAAGTTAATTGTCTATTCTCTTCCTCCTTTCTCAGGTCACCTTCTGACTCTGACTATGGTGTCTCACTGGCGCCCTTGCCAGCTGGCCTCCATCCACAGCCTGTGTTTCTGGAGATACGCTCCCAGTGCCTGTGGGAGGGGGTCAGCCTGGCCCCTGCCAGGCTGCTTTGGCTGCAGAGATGTTTAATTGAGCACAGCTCTGCAGCAGGATGCTGCCTAAGGCCACCCCTGTGCATTTCCCTACTCGCTGTCCATCCATCTAAAGCAATCCTTGCAGCTCCCGGGGATGTGCTCACCAGGCTCCTCAAATCTCAGGGTGAGGCTGACGCTGTCTCCTCTGGTGTAACTGCTCTTCAGTTGTCTCTGGGCTCAGTAACCACAATAATGGTGAAAGCAGCTGCCTGCCCTAGAGTTCTGGGGAAATAAGACAGGACTGGGGTGATCTGTGCTTTGTTAGGAGGGAGAAGCGGGCTGGAGAAGCATGGCCTTAGGACAGAAGACCCAGCTGCCTGTTGAAGGTTGTACCTCCTCTGTACCATGGAAATCAAAGATAGGAATGGAAATCTAATGGATAGTGTAGCCCTTGTTCAGCAG